TACTGGTCACACAGCTCCCCCTCCTCTGCCCACTACTGGCTGACGTCATCAACCAGTCCCTCTCCTCCAGATCAGTCCCTGCCTCCCTCAAAACTGTTGTCATCACCCCCCTCCTGAAAAAACCCTCCCTGGATCCCTCAAACCCCAGCCACTACCGTCCTATTTCTAACCTGCCCTTCCTCTCAAGAATTCAAGAATGCGTTGTTGCCAACCAACTCCGCGCACACCTCTCCTCCCACTCCCTCCTCGAACCCCTCCAGTCACAAACGACATCCTCTCTATCTGTGACCAGGGCTCCCTCTGCCTCCTTGTCCTCCTGGTACTCCTGGACCTCTCCGCCGCGTCCGACACAGTCGATCACGGCATCCTCCTCCACCGCCTTTCCTCGTCATCCACCTCAGTGGGATCGCACTCGCCCGGTTCGAGTACTACCTCACAAACCGCCAGCAGTACATCTGCACAAACGGCTTCTCCTCCCGCTCTCACCCGGTCACCTGCGGGGTACCCCAAGGATCCATCCTTGGCCCCCTCCTCTTTCTGATCTATATGCTCCCTCTTGGAGATGTCATCCGCAGACATGGGGTACATTTCCACATGTATGCAGACGACACCCAACTCTATGTTTCCACCTCTCTTTGCGACCCCCAGTCCCCTGATGTTCTGTCAGATCTCAGGGGCTGGATGAGTGCAAACTTCCTTCAGCTGAACGTTGACAAGACGGAAGCCATACTCTTTGGCTCTCGTCAACATTTAAAATCTCACGGTTCTCACCTCCTCCACCTACCCGACCTCCCCCTAAAACTCTCCGAACCCGTACGCAACCTAGGCGTCAGGTTCGAACCTCAATTACCCTTCCTCCCCCACATCGGTCCCTCACCAGCACTGCTTTCTTCCACCTCCGACGCATCACCCGTCTCCGCCAATACCTCTCCCCAAAAGCCGCCGAAACCCTGGTCCATGCCTTTGTCACCTCTCGGCTGGACTACTCCAATGCCCTCCTCGCCGGTCTCCCATCCACTACCATCCATAAAATCTAACTCATTCAGAACTCTGCCGCCCGCATTCTCATCCGCACCAAACTCCGCTCCCCGATCACCCCAGTCCTGGCCAGACTGCACTCGCTGCCTATCCCAGAGAGGATCGATTTCAAGATCCTCACCCTCGTATTCAAGTCCTTGCACTCCTCTGCACCCCCGACCTCTCTGACCTCCTCTCTCCTCAAAACAGTACCAGTTGCCTTCGTTCCACCAGGTCTGGCCTCCTCCTTGTCCCCCGAGTCCTCCGCTCCACCCTCGGTGGCCGTGCCTTTAGCCACTATGCCCCGAGACTCTGGAACTGCCTTCCTCACTCCCTCCATCTCGTTCCCTCCTTTCCCATTTTCAGGTCTCTGCTGAAGACCTTTCTTTTCGCCTGCACCTTTGGTCACCTTCCCACCCCTCCCCCTCCCCCTGGCTCGGTCCCGGGATCCTAAACTGTAAAGCGCTCTGAGGCGCCGTCCGGCGTGGAGGGCGCTATATAAATCCAAGTTGTTGTTGGTGCTGTTTGAATAACTAGAAAAATTCGCCCTCCAAATTAAGGCTGAATTTAAGAATTTTCTGCAATTCTGCACGTGTTTCAAAGCAAGATGACCTTAGGTGCAAAAAGGGACTGGAAATCCAGGTTTAAAGTGTATTCATAGAACAATGTCATTTCCGATTTGGTCACTGCCTTGTAGCCCTGTGTTTTTACAGTGGTAACCTCACAAAGCTAATTCACCTCTGAGGTTGTCACATCACATCAAACCACGTGAAGTGTCATGGCTATGGATATAGGTTATGATGTCTGCTGCCGACAAGAAAGCACAACAAAACATTTTCCATAGACAGCAGTGCAGCGAAGCAGACAGACAACGCTGTTCTGCATTACTATCAAATAGAATAGGCAGACTGCAATTATTACGATGGGAAATAGTATTTATCCTGTGCCTACAAACTATACAGTCGCTTAATAGTAAATCCTGTGAAGCGCTTAGAAACGTCCTCCCGACGTGAAAGGCGTTATATTATACGTAAGGATTATTATTTATCGTGCCATCTTGGGCCTGAGAGAGACTGTGATCAAACAGACACACACATTACTTTATGCTCAATACAAGTCAAGATAATATTTGCTTCAGGTGTACAGCACTACAGGATTTTTATATAGGGAAAGATTGATATGCATTTGGAACAAACAGCGATATCAGCAAGGCAATGCTCTATACTAAACAATCCTTACATTTGATATAGTGTCTCACAGGATTGACTGTAAAGTGGAGTGACTAATTCTGTGGGTGAACTATAAAGTGTTTTGAAAAGTAACAAGATATGTTCCTGGAAACTAAAATGATTCAGGGTTATTATACTGTGAGATAGATGTGTTGAAGGAATGTTTTGGGTGATTGGGTGGGTAAGTCAGATGGATCGATGTTCCACACCTGCCTGAAACTGTTCTTACTTTCCAAACCTGCCCAAACCTGCAACACCATTTCGTATGAGTACTCTGAGCAGACTGTGGCTACATTGTTCTGCAAGTCTGCAGTGAATATTTATTTCCCAAGTAATCATAGTATAATAATCCTTGCATTTGATATAGCGCCTTATCAGGTCTTCGAGACGTCTCAAAGCGCTTCACAGGCTATACTGTTAAGCGAGTTGACTGTATATTTTGTGGACGAACCGCGGCAGCCAATTGTGCACAGCAGCGTCCCACAAACAGTCGTGGATTGAGTGATCAAATTAATTTTTGTGTATTTTGAAGGAATTGTTACCCCTTGAAAAGCGATCCGCCAATCGACTAACAACCGGCTTCCTACTTACTGTTAGGTGAACAGAGGCGTGTAACGCACGGTACAGCATCGGGCGATGTATGGTATGAATGCCAGGCAATGGATACTAGAGTGTCAGGCAATGGGTATTACATAGTCAAGCTACGCCTGGTAGAGGGTCAAGCAATGCATGGTCCAGTGACAGGCAAAATGCACGGTGAAAGGCCAGGCAAGTAGACCACCATCACTTCTGTCATTTTGAGTGACCTGTTGAGAGGCGACGCTGGTTCTGTAAAGCGATTCACTACTCAATTAGTTTAATTTAAAAATATATTTAATTTTAAAAAGTCCCCCAGAGAGGAACAATCGTAACCAGTAAATATCTTAAATAAATTGCAAAACGCTTTCAAAATAGTATTTTAAATATTTCTAACTCTGTCCTCTAAACTAATGGTAAACCTTTTTCACGTTCAGCTCCCACGGTTTCTGGAACTTGCTGTCACAAGTAATGCTTTGGGATCCACTGTCATTAATATATAATGTATCAAGTGGTTTTGCTTGTCTGAGTAGAAACAAAAATGCTTCGCCCACAAATATACAGTCACTCCACTTTACACTATATTCTGTGAAGCGTTTTGAGACGTTTCAACGACGTGATAAGGCGTTTTGTCAAACGCAAGGATTATCATTCTTATTATGTATTCTCTGCACAAGGACGTTGCAATTGCAAACCTTTCCATAAAGCGTAACGCAAATTGGTTTGTTTCGCATTTCGCGCTAAGCAGCAGTTTTATAAAACAAATTAATACCGCGTCATGATGCATTACAGCATCAGGGAGCTTGAAACATTGATTTAATATTGCAAATTCTGTTAGGCGTCAGGTAAAGCACTGCAAGCATGTTATTACTTATGATCCGAGCGCTTTGCGACATCCTCGCAACTTGCAAGGCATTATATAAATGTAAATTGTATTTTATTTTGCTTCAAAGCCTTCTGCAATAACATGACCTAGTTCATATGTGACTTGCAGGGTTAATATTGTGTGTTTAGTTGGTAAACTCACGCCCTGCGCGAAAGGTTGTGGGTTCAAGTCCCGCATCGGGAGCTTTGAGCTCATAGTTTAGGCTGACACTCCAGTGTTGGGCAGTGCTCCCTGTCGACTCCATCAACATGTTAAAGACCTCAATCAGGTCACCCTCAATCTTCTTTGTTCCAAAGGAAAAAGTCCCAGTTCCTTCAGTCTTTCCTATAGGCCACACCACTCAAACTGAACACACTATTCTCACTGTGGTCTATGTAAAAAATTATGTTAGCGTTTCCTCTTTGATTTTAGATTCTATATCCCTATTTTACAACCTATTTGCTTTCTTGATAGTTCTGTCCACCTGCCTTCCCACCTTTAAGGATCTACATATATTAACCCCGAGGTTCGCTCAACTCTTCCACTCCTCCCTCCCCTCCCTCCCACCCTGGTTTGGGGTCGTTCTCCAACACTGTCAAGTGCTCGGGGACACTGGCCTGGGTGAGGGGCATTATATAAGCACAAGTTGTTGTTCCTTTTTAAAATGTACCACCTAACATACACATATCTCTGGTATCATCTTTGCATTTTGTAATATCCCTATTAATCTCTTTTCATAATTTCCTATACTGTTCCCAGTGTTGTTATCCCTCCTTGTTCCCGAAGGCTTTGTTTAGCAGGATGTTTAGTAAGATGTGACTGATCAGAAAGAAAGACAATTTGAGTGTTTTCTTTCTATGACTTTTTGGAGGTTTTACAATACTGTATTGCGTTTCAGGTATAAAGTGTTGTTTTTTTATGACCTATTTTCTGGATTGTTCTGGAGTTTTCGTACTGAGGAGGATCAGTGAATGACAACTAAAATCCTCTAAAGTGGATTAGTGTCAAAGGGGAAGAGAGAGAGAGAGAGAGAGAGACAGGCAGAGAGACACAGAGAGGGATAGATACAGACAGAAAGATAGACAGAGAAAGAGATAGACACAGAGACAGACAGAGACAAACAGAGAACCAGCGAAAGATAAACATAGAGATAGAGAGACAGACAGACAGTCAGAAAAATAAAGAAAGACGGAGAGAAAGAGAGAGATCTCTGAATCTTCCACTCTGCACAGCGTGAAGTTACATTTGTTTAATCTGTAAAGAAAGGGGCAAATTCACTTCTAAACTGTATAAAGTCTTTATCCTTTCAACAGGTCTTGCTTGTTCATTCTTGTTTCGAGTTGGAGTGAATCCGGAGTCAAGTTAACAATAGCGGAATGGCCCTGTTGAAGAGTGGCTGGATGTGGAGACAAAGTAAGTGCTTATTTTAATAAATATATAACTGTCAAAGCATTTATTTAGAGCATTATATTCTACAGTCTCTGGGGTGCCGCACAGTGCCTGGGATGGGCTATGCAGTATTTAACTAGACGTCACGGATGCTGTCGAATTTAAATGCTTATAACTAAATAGAATTTATATATTTTGTGTTAACTTTTCTGTTGACAAATGTAATGCCATTCCTTCCAAGGCTGCCAAAAAGAATCTATACATAACGTATTCCTGCCTCAATCTCTTTGCTTTCCCTGCCCTCTTTTTCTATCTTTAAATCCCACTTTAAGATTTACCTCTTTGACTGCGATCAAGGTCACTTCCCTCAACCCCTTTCACTTGTTCTACGTCCAACCTGCCACTAGGCAGGAATCCGAGATGTTATCCTAGGTTGTTGCTGTTTCTGACATACCGAGTAAGTTTCTTTTCCCCTCTCCCTCCCCACCTTTAAAGCCCACTTCAAGACCTTTCTCTTCAACCTCCCCCCACCACCTCCACAACCCACCAACTCTCCTTCCTTCCTCAGCTTCCTCCAACCCAAGCTCAGGCTGCCAGTTAAAGCGCTTTGAGATGTCCACCCAATGTGAAAGACTGTTGTGAATATTGTTATAATAATAATAATCTTTTCATTTGATAGAGTACCTTATCACATCTTCGAGATGTCTCAAATTTGCGGGTGAAATGGAGCAGCTAACTGCACACAGCTGTGTCCCACAAACAGTCATGGATTGAGTGACCAAATTTTTTTTATAAAACGATTATTACCCCCAGATAAGCAAGTAACTTAAATACTCCCAATCTGGCTGTAGTTTCTTAGGAACTATAATGTGGGTAAGCAGTATAAACACAATGGGGTAACAGAGATATCATGTTGTGCATCTTTGTGTACAGGCTTCGTTCTGCGACGATGGAGGAAGAACTGGTTTGATTTATGGATGGACGGAAGTCTTGTGTATTACCAAGATGAAGATCGCCGTAACATGGAGGACAAGATCCATCTCAAAGTCCATTGTACATATATATCGATTGGGTTTGAATGCACAGGTGAGTATTTTATGATGCCTTTTCTGGTTTAAAACAATAATTCTTGCATTTGATCTAGAGCATTATCGCGTCACCAAAATATCTCCCTGTTCAGATGGACATTAAAGAATTTTATTAGTAAAATTTACTGTTTAAAGTAATAAATAGCTACAGAGAAACTATTTCCTTTGATGGGGGAATCCAGAACAAGAGGGCATTATCTTAAAATTAGAGCTAGGACATTTAGGAGTGAAACCAGGAAGCACTTTTTCACGCAAAGGGTAGTGGAAACCTGGAACCCCAAAAGAATGTGGATACTGAATTCATTCACATTTTCAAGACTGAAGTGAATAGATTTCTGTCAGGTCATGGTATCAAGGGATAAAGGGCAAAGATAGGTAATTGGATTTGAGGTACAGATCAGCCTTAATAGAATGGCAGAAGAGGCTCAAGAGGTTGAATGGCCTTAGTCTTGTTACTATGTTAGCAAGGGTTAAGGCTTGGGGAGCACAGAGTGTTCAATGGGGCACTACTGGAGTTCAACCCAACTCGTCAGGGCTTTGGGATGAAGGGTTAATCTGAGCTGAGTGGGAAGAATCCCTGCTCCCAGTGACTGGCCTACCCCTCCAAGTCATGCTGTTGTCAGAAGTGCCCTGGAATGCTGCAGACCCATCCGTCTCAGGAACCACCATCACCACAACTGAGACTGACACGGGGGGGGGTGTCTTGATTCTGTTGCCAAATTGAATGTGTGGAAGAGGGTCTAGAATTCGATTCAATGAGAAAAAGGACTCAGTAGAACTGAGGGATGATGGAGGCGGGTAACCTTACAAACTACCATCTCATTTCTAACCTGTGTTCCTTCACAAAAGCTCATGTCCCCTGCTGGATCCAGCCTGCCATCAGTTTGACAGAGGCTAAGCTATCTTGTATGTGTGTAGCACATCAGTACTCATGAGGTGCTTCATTTGGACAGCTAAGATCTTTCTTTCGTGTCTCATCTGAAACCACGCTGGAATGTCATAGCATAAAGACTCTCATTAGCAAGGTTTGTGTTTTTACCTGGTTCAACTCCAGTAGTACCTCAACGTACACTCTATGGTTCCCAAGCCTCAGCAAACTTACGCCTAATACACTCTCGAATTAGGGATACCGCACAGTGCATCCATTCAGGGAGAGAGTGCTCATTTCTTTTCAGACATAGGGAAATTTCTTTGTGTAGGTGGCATACCAATGTTAAATTCGCTGTGTCAAATACAAGGATTATTATTATTTATTACAATATTATTTTGTTGATCTAGATCACTTTGACAGTTGGCTCTTTTTCTTCCCTTTGGCCAGTGTTCATCACAACATGAGGTTGATGGATTTAAACGTCAGGCAACCCAGGGACATAAGCTTGAGATGTTAGAGTGTTAATACTCTCCCCTTGACATACAAACTCGTCACCCCAAATTCTCCCATTTACAAAATCCAACAGAAGAAAGTAAGAACATTGGAGAAAAGAAATAATAATAATCCTTGCATTTGATATAGCGCCTTATCAAGTCTTCGAGACGTCTTAAAGAATATACTTTAGAGCAAATTGACTGTATGTTCTGTGGGTGAAATGCAGCAGCCAATTGCGCACAGCAGTGTCCCACAAACAGTCGTGGATTGAGTGACCAATTTATTATTTATTTATTTTGAAGGAATTATCACCCCCAGAAAAGCAATCTGCCAATCGACTAACAACCAGGTTCCTACTTACTGTTAGGTAAACAGAGACATCTGGAGGAAGGAAACTTGCCAAACGTTTCACCCTGCCCGGGAATCAAGCCCAGGTCCCCTCGCTTGTGAGTCGAGTGCTCTATCCAATACGCTACAGGATTCAAATGTACATCCTTGGAACCAGCTGGGCATAAGCCAACAACTAGGCAAGAGATTTGGTCTTCAACCTCATATTATCAGAACAACCCTGTCTTCGGTTGCCTCTGAATTGCCTGCCTCTGTGTGTGAATTCTGGATCGGATCTAATAAGTAATGTGGACTGCTGTAAATTCACATCCAATCGCTTTGACACACTCAAAATGGGGTGGGCATCTAAGAAACAGAATCTGTCTACATTCATTATTTTTTTTCCTTTTGTGATTGTTGAGCAGGCCCCAGGCACTCAACATTGCATCCACTTCCTTCATAAAAATTCATACCATGTCACGGCACGAGTAAGCTATCAACCTGTATGATATGCTAGCGGCTCAACTCTTCTGCATCTGAGAGCTGAAATTTCTCATGGCTTTAGCCTTAAGATTGTTATCCTGAAATAACAATAATAAACAATAATCAGTAAGTGTGGAGTCCTGTAGCTCAGTGGTTAGAGCACTCGCTTTGCAAGTGAGAGACCTGAGTTCAATTCCAGGCAGGGCGAAACCTTGGGCAAGTTTCCTTACTCCACACGCCTAATAATAATCCCTCCAAAAAACCAAAAACAATAATTAAATTGGTCATTTTCAATCTACGACTGTTTGTGGGATATTGCTGTGCGCAATTGGCTGCCGCGTTCGCCCACAAATATACAGTCAATTCACTTTACAGTGTGTTCTGTGAAGCGCTTTGGGACGTCCTCCTGACGTGAAAAGCGCTATATCAAATGCAAGGATTATTATTATTATTATTAAGTCCCAAGGGTGCTTCACAGGATATACTGTTAAGTGCAGTCACTGCATGTTTTATGGTTAAACTCGGCAACCAATTTGTGCACAGCTATGAAATGAATTTTACCTGAGAAATTGTTGGCCAGGACACAGGAGAAATACCTTCTCTTTGCAAATAGTGTCATGGGATCTTTAACATCCACCTGGACAGGCAAACGGGACCTCAGTTTACTGTCTTATCTGAAGGACGGCACCTTCAGCAATGCAGTGCACCCCAGCACTGCATTGGAGTGTCGGCATAGACTCTATGAGTTCCAAGTCCAGATATGGGCCTTGAACCCACAACCTTCTTGACTCAGAGACGAGCGTGCCTGACACACATGACAAATAAAATATAATTTAAATGCCTCACTGCATTTAACTTTGTATTGCCCAGATTAAATGGAGTGCTTACAGGCCGTTACATTTGAGAAGCAATTCNAAAAAAAGGAAAGCCGTTGTACAAAATTTTGACATTAACAAAGAAAAATTTACATTGCTGGCAAAACAAAGCGAAACGTTTACGTTTGTGATCATTTTTTTTGTGATCCAAATCATTTTGGACGTCTTTCTTTCCTTTCAAAACAACCGAGGCAACCACGTGAGGAAGGCACAGTATTAAAAGTATTAATCGGCACCGAGGAAACACAGGGCAACCTTTCCGATGTCTTTCAAATCTGTTTATTATTTCACCATATTCGATCTCTCCTCTCTTCCCCAGATGGTACACTACCACAGGAATGCAGTCGAGAATGCATGTTACTGATTCACCTCAGAGACGGATCAAAGCTTAGGCTCTGCGCAGACAGTGCTGATGATGCATTGTGAGTATGTTACTGAAACATTTATGAGACTTTCTCTCCGTTTTCCGCATCAAGTATTGGCGTATCTCTAACTTCTTCTTAAACCTGACATGCTTTGCGTCTGGCACCCTACCCTCATTGCAGCTGAAATAAAATTCCTGACAAATTTTCACTGACTGTGCAAAACAAAACAGACAAAACGGAATTAGTTGAGATGAGAGTAGTAATAATCCTTGCATTTGATATAGTGCCTTATCACCTTGCCGAGACGCCTCAAAGCGCTTCACAGGATTTTACTGTGAAGCATAGTGACTGTGCATTTGACTGAATTGGCTCCAAGGTGACGTGCCTGGCAATGAAATATTGGAATCAGTTTGACCTTTTGTGATAGTCTTGGGAGACCAGTTTGTGAACCGCAGTACCTCATTGATGTTTAATGATAGACCAGCCAGTGTGGGACATTTGGCAGGAATTGAAAGAGCAGATACTGGGCTCCTGTTAACTCAAAACCCCCATGGGCAAGGTTGGTCCTTGCTGGACAAGCAGCAGAAAGATAGCAAATGTTTACAATGGGAGACTGTATGGTTTTAGCTGATTAAACTAGCATTCCCCCAATGTACAGATGTGAGGTCCCCAAGTCTTGGCTCTTGCTGACCTGTATCTAAATTAGACAAGCCAGGTGCCTCCCTCTGAAGAAAGTGTACACATTCCGTACCAGGCAAACTATGTGGAACTCGCAGTGTTTTGGAAACTCTTAAATATAGTGATGGATTTCCTCATGTGCCAGTTGTCTAAACCCAAACAATTACACGAGCATAGTGTTCCTGCACTTCCTAGTCTGTTCGGTTATCCTTATTTTGAAGGAATAACCCACCTGTTTTTGAATCTTGTACATGACAGAAAAAAAACCCTCGTCAAAGCCTAGTTTTTCCAACCATTCTCAAACTAAAATGCCTGTATGCCTCCTCTCTCCACCTTCTCTGTTTGAGAGAGAGCCTGTGACCAGCAGATTCCGATTCCGAGTAATGAAGGATAATCCTTCAACGAGTGAGAGATTATTTGAAGGTGCCACAGTTTCAGTGACATGAATACCAATTACACTACCAATTGCGTTCGGGAGTGAAATAAGCACTTGGATGCCTGCTGTTGTGCCTGTTTACAGTGTGTCAGGTGTAGTACATTGATACCTAGTTATTTCAGATGTAAGCAAACTGCAAATGCCAGTGTCTTTATTGTATTAAAGTCCATATCATTAGTACCCGCCTCCTAATCCATTGATTGTAAGTTAACAACAACAACAAGAATAAAATTACATTTATAAAGCGCCTTCGGCAGAACACCCCAAGGCACTGAACAGTCAGGGATCAGGATCGAGTGTAGGTGGGGGAGGATATAAGCACAATGCAAAATGCCAGCGGGGGGATAAAAGGAAGGCAGAGAAGTAGGAGGGCAGCTGAAGGCACTGTCAAAAAGGAGAGTCATGAAGGAGGCAAGGGAGGGAGCAAGGCAAAGGGATTGTGGGATGGAGTTCCAAAGGGTGGGGGCAGAGAGGCTGAAAGCCCGGCCGCCGATGGTAGGGTGGGTCGGGTGGGAGACATGGAGCAGGCCAGAGCCTGCTGAACAGAGGGAGTGGACGGTTGATAGGGGGTCAGCAGCTCAGAGAGGTAGGAGGGGGCAGATGTAAGCACACTGCAAAATGCCAGCGTCTTTATTTTATTAAAGTCCACGTCATAAGTACCCGCCTCCTAATCCGTCGATTGTATATTAACTGTTTCTTTTATTGGATTATCCTCTTCCCCTATGTCAAGCTCTACCTTCTGTTATTCAGGCTATTAGTCATTCAACAAGACCGATACAACCCTTATGAAACATGCATTGAGTTTATCTGTGGCATTGTTTGGTTAAAATATTACACCTACATACTCATATCTCAATTCACTTTACAGTATATTTTGTGAATCGCTTTGAGATGTCTCATTGACATGATAAGGCGCAATATGAAATGCAAGGATTATTATTATTATTATCCTGTGAGTGATATTTCCACGTGAACAGGAGCTTTGACTTTGAGTCTGTGGTGTTCTGTTGCCATCACATTTTGTTGCATTTTACGGCTCAATAGTTCAACGAGTTGCAGTATTTCAGGGCGCTATAATAATACTACTAATAATTCTTGCATTTGATATAGCGCTTTTCATGTTTTCTAGACGTCTCAAAGCGCTTCACAGAATATACTGTAAAGTATATTTGTGGGCAAATATACTATGTATTGCAATATAGTTTGGAAATCATCTGAGAACCAAATTGTTTTCACAACCTCAAGGAGTTAGGTTATCCAATTAGTTAGGATAACAAGGGTCCGAAATACTGATTATCCAGGGTCTTGGGACATCATCTCGACATGAAAGGCGCTATACAAATGTAATTTTGTGGTTGGTGTTTCCCTGTACAGTGGCCCTATCACTTCTCTGAGGCAAGAACTGAATACAGTATTCCACCTGTGGCCTAATCAGAGCACTGGAGAGCTTGATCATGATTCCATTACTTCTATTAGAATAAGATACATTACCAACTGGGAGCTAGACAGACCAAGATGCCTTCACAACAACAAATTACATTTACACAGCGCCTTTCACATTGGAAGGACATCCGAAGGCACTGGACAGTCAGGGATTTGGACCCGAACTGCAGGGTGGAGGGTAGGGAGAGTGACCGAAGGCGCGATCGAAGAGGGGGGTCTCGAGACATGCCTTGGAGGAGGCAAGGGAAGGAGCAAGGCAAAGATCATAAGATCAGTTAGAATGAAGCAGGCTCTTCTGTCTATTTGATCTTGTTCTTCCAGAACACCGACCCCACCCTCTTCGCACCAAAGCATCAAACTGTGTTTTAAACAAGTCCAGTGTCCTGCCCTCAACCATCTGTTGTGGGAAACTTTTCCAATTGATATATCATCTCTGGGTTATAAAAAAACTGTCCTGAGATTGGTCTGAAATTGCAATTCTAAACTTGTGTCTCTTGTTCTATTGTCTTGGAATGATATTTGTTTGCCCACAAAATACACACTCTAGAGTATATTCCATGAAGCACTTTGAGATGTCTCAATGACGTGATAAGGCGCTATATCAAAAGCAAGGATTATTAGGATTATTATTGGTGCATCCTAAAGAATTGTTCTCGGTTCACTTTTCAAGCCCATTTCAATTCTTTATACCCTCTTCTAACGCCTGACATTTTGAGGGTGGTTCTAAAATCTGTTATTTCCATTAAGACAGCAATGTGAGATTTGCAAGAAGTGGATCACATAGATAAACATAGAAACTACTTGTGGAGTCCTGTAGCTCAGTGGTTAGAGCACTCGCTTTGCAAGTGAGAGACCTGAATTCAATTCCAGGCAGAGGGCGAAACCTTGGCCAAGTTTCCTTACTCCACACACCTAATAATAATCTCTCCAAAACCAAAAACAATAATAAATTAGTCATTTTCAATCTACGACTGTTTGTGGGACACTGCTGTGCGCAATTGGCTGCCGCGTTCGCCCACAAATATACAGTCAATTCACTTTACAGTATATTCTGTGAAGCGCTTTGGGACGTCCTCCCGACGTGAAAAGCGCTATGTCAAATGCAAGGATTATTATTATAATTACAGTAAGGAAACAGGCTATTCAGCCCAACCAGTCAGTCCTTGTGTTTACACTCCACGTGAATCTCCACCGTCTCCTTACTTCCTCCCATGCCCTTCTATTCCCTTCTCCCCCATGTTTATATATATATATATATAGTTTCCTTTTTTATTTTCTTTATAACATTCAAATGAATTCAATTCAAATTCTGAATTCCAATGTTCTGAACAACTTGTGTTCTTCTATTTGGCAGGGCGTGGAAGCTGGCTTTTCTGGAAGCTAAGTCTAACCCGGTAAGGAACTTCTAATATTTAGAGATTTTTGTTTTCTTTAAACGAATGCTGTTTTCTCAGAACATACTCAATGCTATTTCCTATGCTAGTCCCATAGCGTAGTGGTTAGTACGCTCGCCTCACAAGCGAGAGGACCCGGGTTCTGGGCAGGGCAAAACCTTAGGCAAGTGTCCATACTCCACACGCCTCTGTTTACCTAGCAGTAAATAGGAATATGGTTCTTAATCAATTGGCAGATCACTTTCTGGAAGTAAACATTCCTCAAAAAAATTTGGTGGGTCAATCCATGACTGTTTATGGCACACTGCTGTGTTTCACTCACAAACACACGCAGTCAACTCACTTTACAATATATTCTGTGAAGTGTTTGAGATGTCTTGAAGATTAATCTATATCAAATTTGCTATATCAAATGCAAGGATTATTATATTCCATTCACTTACGACTGACACATCTAAAATTCCACAAATGTGAATGAAAAGCTGCCTAGAAATTCTGAACTAATAAAGGATGAAAAATGTTCTAAGTAAAAGCATGATGAACTCAACATACCAGCACACAAGGTGAAATGAGGAACTGAAAAAGGTTTTAAAACGGAACTCGAGCAGCTTGCCTTATTACTTGTATATTCACAAAATTGCCCTACCTGGCGGGCAGGAGTTTGACCTTTGTGAAGTCCAACCCAGAGTCCATCCAACTTACCCCTTCCCTTGGAATACTGGGTTGTTGCTCCATTGGAATATGTGCTCTAATGAAGTTCTACCCAGTGAAAATCTAACCTAGTCTTATCCTGTGGACCACTTTGTCTTAAAACGCTGCAGAATATTGCTTTCAGGTTTAGACTGAAATTAAGAATTTGCCACAATTCAGTCCAAGCCTAATGGTTTAAGACAAATTGGTCTAACAGGCTAAAAACAGGTGGAATTGCAAAGCTCGTTGGGTGTGGTGGGGTGGTGGTGTTGCAGAGGGGAGAGGGGGGGGAATCCAAATCAGAATGCGGTGGAAGTTTGGGCAATTTAATTATTTGATTGGAAAACTGCTTTATACGCGAACTGAGATTTGAAACGCTCCAAGAACTTGCTGTTGATCTATGTGCAATCAGTTTGTGACAGGCCAGCAAGGCTCCTTGTCATCACAAGGGCTCTGTGTTTTGACGATTGGTGAAAGGAGCATTGTGTTTGTTATGTGTGTTCCATAGAGCATTTATCAGAATAGGCTGCCACAGCTGAAAGGGTCCAGTTTAATACAGGGGTCTAACAGGATTTGTGTTGTAGTGAAAAATAATAATAAAAAATCCTTGCGTTTGATATAGAGCCTCATCAAACCGTTGAGACAACTCCGAACACTTCATAGGATATATTGTAAAGTGAATTGACTGAGTATTTTGTTGACGAAACGCGACAGGCAATTGCGTTCAGCAGCGTCCCACAAACAGCCGTGGTTTGAGTGACCACATTCTTTTTTAGAGGGATTATTGTGCCCAGAAAGAGATCTGCTAATCGTCTAACAACCAGGTCCTACTTACTGTTAGGTAAACAAAGCCATGTGGAGTAAGGATACTCGCCTAGGGTTTCATGCCCCGCCCAGGACTCAATCCCAGATCTTCTCGCTTGTGAGGCGAGCGCACTAACCGCTATGCTACCGGATTCCGATATAGCGGCTTTCACATCGGGAGGACTTCTCAAAGCATTTCACAGGATTTACTGTAAAGTGCAGGACTCTGTGAATTGTAGGTGAACACAGCAGCCAATCTGCTCCCCGCAATATCCCACAAACAGCCATGGAGTGAATGACCAATTTGTATTTGAAAGATTGTTGGCCAACACACTGGGGGAAACTCCCTTCTCTTTTTGAATAGTACCACGGGATCTTTAACATCCACCTGAACAGGCAGATGGGACTTTGGTTTAAATCTCAGGATGCTGCCTTCAACATGCAGCATGCCAGGGCACTACATTTGAGTATGAGCCAAGACCACATGAGTTAAAAGTTTCAATGTAGGGTTTGAATCTACAACCTTCTTTCTGACTCAGAGATTTGAGATTGCTACCAACTGAGCCAAGATGACCCCTGACACCCTCGTTTATAAGAATAAGAACAGTTAGGGGTAGATTTTAGGCAAACATTAGAAAGGTTCTGACTCAGAGGCGAAAGTGCTACCAAAGTGCCACCAACTGAGCCAGGCTGACACCAAAAAGTGGTTGTTGTATTTTTTGGTGGTTTTGCTGATTTTAGTCATGTTGAAAGGAAATCGTAAAAAGGAAGTTGAAGGAACTCTTTTCCATGAATGAATTTAATTCCCATTGACTATTGTTCACGTTAGTTATTTTCATATATTTATGTTGGCACAAACTGAAGTGATTTCAGGAAGAAAGGGAAATCCAAAGCACAGTAACTTCAGGATCAGTACTATCTGTACTTCCTACGTTCTGTGGGTATTATTGAAGTGCTTGGCAGTCAAACTGCAATTGCGGCTTGACTCTGTTGGTAGTATTCTCGCCTGTGGGTCAGAAGGTTGTGAGTTCATGTTCCATCTCGGGACTTCAAGCTCACAGTCTGACTTGACATTCCAGGTAATGGTGGAGCAATGCTCCACTGTGACGGGTGTCCGTTCAGGTGGATGTCGAAGGATTCTATTGCACTATTTGAAAAGAGAATGAATTTTTCTTGCTGTTCTGCCCATAATCCACATGTGATAAGGGTCTCTGAACATTGTACATTAGCAGGGTTGGCTGCCGAGCAAGGAAGGAGGAGGAGAGGGAGGTGACCGTAGGCCTGGTCGAAGATATAGTGAAAGGGAAAAAAGAGATTAATATTAATCTTCCGATATAGTGACATTTACAGGACTTTTCAAAACACTTCACAGGAAACACTGTAAAGTGCAGCGACTGTATTTTGTAGGCAAACATGGCAACCAATTTCACGCAGCGAACTTTCCACAAACAGCCATGACTAATTTTATTGAGGGGATTGTTAACGAGGACACCGAGAGAAATTCCCTCCTGGTTTCAAATAGTGCAACGGGGTCTTTAATGTCCAGGCAGATGGGACCTTGGTTTAATGTCTCACCCGAAGGAGTATCAGTCTAGACTATGCAAGGCCAAAGTCCCAGGATGGAGTTTCAACACACAGCCTTCTGACTGTGAGTGCATTGCATTTATACAGCAACCTTCATGTAGCATAATGTCTCAGACTGCTTCACAGTGACAACAACAACAACAAATAACATTTATATAGCACCTTTCACATCAGGAGAACATCCCAAGGCTCCGCACAGTCAGGGATCTGCACCCGAGCTGGTGGTTGGGATCAGGAGGGGTGGAGGGCGGGGAGGGACAGAGTCACACTGAGCAAAGGGGAAAGGGGTGGGTACCTGGTGCGGTCGTAGAGTTGGTATTAAGGTGGGATTTAAAGACCGATAGAGACAGGTCAAAGCTGATGGATAGAGGCTCTGGCAGAGGCAATAACCTCCTCAAACATTTCTTATAGTTGCACTGAGGCAGCCAAGTACTGCTCATGATTATGTAAGAGTCATTCCCTTTCTTTCCTCTTGTGTGATTTGGGAGGCGATCGAACGATAGCAAACAATCACAAGGTTCTGCGGAGCTCAACTGAACAACAAAGGGAAAATAATTCACAGCCCTGTGACTTGGACTCAGCCCTCCCTTCCCACTACATCACTTCTTGCTATTGTTAAAGAAAATTGGAAATTAGGTCTGGGCTTGCTCTGCTGGCTTGTTACAGTTTAATTGGCTTTTGGTTGTGGAAAAGGACTTGTATGTGTATGGAATAAATTCTCGCCGCTTTGCAGGGGATAGTGAGAGATTCTTAATTATTCTCCACTGGAAGAAAGCTGCTGTGGCTGCTCTTATCTTCGAAACAGTCGGGCTAAAATTAAAACATGTTTACGATGAATGAATTAAAGGGATCCAGCCCTTTTCGGACTCTTCGCATGTCGCTGTGCTCCGACAGCATGTGGAGCAATAACAGCTTGCATTTATATAGCGCCCTTCTCACGGGTAGTGTCTTGCAGCATTTAACAATGGTGGAGTCTGAACGAGGATAATTCACTTCCATCATAGCTCCTACCTGAAACATTAAGCTATTTTCCTCTTTCAGGGCAATGATTGACTTTAGGAGTGGCCTCCTGACCTTTTTACACTCTTGCAATCTGCTGCTCAGTGACGCTGATGAGAGGAGTCCTCTTTCCCTCACCTCATTAAAGGTCCGTCTCTAGACCTACCTATTTGACCGCACTTTCGGTCATCCTTCCCCCTCCCTACCCTTCTTGGCTCCCAACTCCAGCTCAGGTGCCCAGCCAGGACTGTTAAGGACTTTGAGACATGCTCCCAATTTGAAAGGCACTGTATGTATGTAAATTGGCATTTGTATTGTATTGTCCTGAAATCCTCAGTGATTTTCACAAAGTACAAGCAATATTGTGAAGTTTCTTCTGCGGCTATACCTGACGTGAGCTCAGCTTTCAATTCATCTTGGAAGACTGAGCTGTGGATCATGGGGTGGGATTGCAGATGTCTGAACAGGAAGGTCACGTGGGCTTGAGGATGTCCTTCAGCCTGGTCTCAGCTGGATGAACGGCAACCTTGAGGATGTAGGATTTTAGGTTGCAGGTTGATAATATGACTTTGATGAATCGTCCAAGTGTAGGAAGCATACTTCCCTGGGGCCTCCTTCATTGAAGCGCAGACAGTTAAGATTCTGAAAGGTTTGTGAGGATATATGGTGAAACTGGTGAATCGGAAATAAGAAGATGTCAACTCCTGAATCTAATAACAATAATAATTATTGTTATAACGATGACTAATAATAGTAATAACATAGTTTGCCTGTATATACAGTAGTGCTTTTCACGCAGGGGAAAAAAAAAGAATTTGAAGTGTCTTACATGCTATAATAGATTAGAAACAAAGTGAATGTTGTCAGGAGTTTGAGCTCATTCGGTCTAAAATGACATTCCAGAGCATTGTTGGAGGTGCTGT